TAGAGAAACTATAGTCCAGTTCTGAGGGAATGAAAACTGCTGTTTCTCCCTTTTTACTCATCCTTTGATTTTTTTAAATATGACTTTGTCCTCTGTATTTATCTTGCGTTAGTAACTGTCTCTGCAGGGCTCAGTATCAGAAGTCTTCTGGCTTGGTAACTGAAATCTGAGTTGCCCTATTTCTTAAATCTAGTAGAATTTACAATATCTATTTCAACTTTAATGGAACAATAAAAATACTGTCAACAGACTTGAACAGGTTGCTGAAACTTATCAATTACTCTTTTTTTTTTTTTTTTTTTTTTTTTTTTTTTGAAACCTGATGGCTTTATGCTGTTTTCCATTTCCATTGTGTACATAAAGCTTCAGGAACTGATTGTGAAGAACACAAAAGAACAAAGATTATTTAAAATTAACTGTATGTATAGTACATTTCAGTATATCATAATGGAATTACATATTTAGATGCAGTAGAAAACGTGCATGCTTATTTTTGTGTTCAGCTGTAATTATGTGAATATTTTCACTGTCTGAAGAACACTTACATGTTTACAGATGGTGAAATTACCTATGTAATAAATGCATTTTTTTCAGGACCTTAAATATTTCAGCATTTCATGGAGTATGTTTCTTACTTAGCATCTGCTAATCTTCACTTAAATTATGAAAAAAATAGTTGAAAAACATATCCATGTGTATGTATGTATACATGTATTTATGTAATATATTAGGCTGTTAAACCAAATTTTGGGAGTTGCAGCATCTTTTTTTTTTTCCTGCGTAGTAGTATGAGAAGAATGTATAATTAGTAGTCAAAATAAGGATAAGTAGCTCTTTGTTCAGCCAGAGTACATACATAAACTGCTGTGTAGGTACGGGTGTAGTATAGCACAGTTCAAATCAAGCTATAGTTTCCCTCCTTTCTAGCATCTGCCTTCACCTTCCTCTGTCAGAACTGATGTAGTAGTGAATATATGGCTCGAAGATCCTGTAAATACTATCCTGAAATTATCAGTTAGATGCTTAACTCTAGAGGATTCATACGATATGGGCATGCTCTCATTAACTAGAGCTGACATCACAGGCTGTGACAAAAGTTAGAGCTTCAGGACAGAGTTTCACTTCTGCCTAACCTGTTCCCCAGCTGAACTCCCCGTCACTCTTCTTGTGTTGGACAAAACAAGTGAGAATCTGTGGGGTGAATTAGTTCTCTATCCCACCAGCAATGAAAATGTACTTATCTGCTGTCATCTGACATGGTGATACACTTAGTTGCTGCCATCTAGTGCAGTGGCACACAATTCATCCAGTAGAAGAGAAGGAGAGGTGGCTGTCCTCACCTGAAGGGCAGAGAAAGCAAGATGGTTAACCTTGTGTGGAGTTTTACTCTTAGCTAGAGGAAATGCAGAATGAGGTTGCAGTCTTACGTGTCAGTGTTGTTAGTGGAGAATGTAGGTATGTGTACAGCAGATGCTTAAAGTAGATAGATTGAATACATTCCTAAAAGTGTTGTCCTCTTAGTTACTGAAGTAAAAAAGTTTTGGTCTTAGCTTAGATGTTGAAAAATTAGAGGCTCTTTTTCTTCTTAACAATATCTTGAAAAAATATTTATATAAACAGTTTAACAGGGCAATGCAGTATTTTGACTTCAGAGCTTTACTCTAAACCAGAAGGGACCATGAGTCAGTACTGGTTGGTAAATCTGAATTTTGTAACTTTAATTTTTTGTTCTTGCAGCTTTTATCCTCCAGTTGATGAGCCTTCCATTGGCACTGAAAATCTGGATTTATCTGAGCATCATGAAAGGAAAAAAATATTCCGTGGGAAAACTTTTGTATTTCTAACTACCAAGCAGGTATTTAGGCTTTATATTGCAAAAATGTTGCAGGGATAGCTAAGCAGAGATTCTGTGCTGTGTGAATTCACTCATTGTGATTTAATCAGAAAAGAAGGATTTCTGTGTATTTATCATCTTGCAGTACAGTGGCCTAAGCAAGGTGAAATACAGGGGGAGAAACACAACACATCACATCTGCATTAGTGCATCAGTGTTAAGCATTCTACTGATAGTTATATCAGCACTATTCTGATACTTCTAAACTGACTGTATTTTAAGATTTTATTTTTTAATTTGCATTCTCTTTTTAGCACAAGAAACTGGGTCCAGCAATTATTCTTGGAGGAGGAGAAGCAAAATTGATGATGGAGGGAAGAAAAGAAACATCTTTACTGCTTTCTCCTGGAGTTTGCGTTGTTGATGTCGGGTTGACAAACTCTCAGATCCCAGGATCTGACCCCATGAGAAACTGGACTGATTCCATTCTGACTGTCTTGCAAAGGTGCAGCATTGTTCTCTTGTCCAACATTATGGTAATTTTGGAATTTCTGCAGAGAATTAGTCATTAGTGTTTGCATATATTTTTAAGCAGTAGGATGCTTATAAAGAGGGTATTTTCTTCATTGCTTTCAGTATTTAGCATAGTAACTGAAATTTCTTGAAGCAGGAAGGAAAGGCATTGGCAGTTCTGTGAGGATTTGGTGGGTTCGTTTTTTGGGGTTTTTTTGAGGATCCAATTCTACAAAAATTCATTGTAATGAAGCTGCTATGAAATTGCAAACAGCAAGTGGGTTTTTTTTACCTGCTATTTAAAAGAAGTTAAAAATGAATATATTCTAAGAATGGAAAAGAAGTGATCTATGATTTTTTCAATAAATATTTGTTTAATGGAAAGCTGGTAAGATGGCACCTTGAGGTCATGTGGTTCATTGCCATCTAATTATTCGCATACAGTGTTTCTGAAGAGCAGCTTCTGTTTAATAAAAAACAGATTTTGTTTTGATAGTGGAGTTTTTGTTGAGAGGGCAGACTGCATATTTTTATAGATTTTAAGATTTTCATTATGTTGTTTTATTAGAACACTGAAAGAAATTAAATCGCAGTGCTTAACCTAATACCTAAAACTAGTTCCTATGAAAAACTAGTTCCTTTGAATTTTCTTGCTAAATAGAGAGAACTGTACTCAAGCTTTTCTCATGGTTGTAGTACAGAAGAGGTGTGTATGTGCCTAACTGACTTCTAAGAAATGCTCAGGTCTTTCAAGTGACTTTTCCATTCACACACATTTTTAAATCAGAGGTAGAGCACAGTTAGTTAAATGCCCAGAAGTCAGGTAGGGAGAGATGCACTGACCAGATTACTGGGACTAGACATTTGCTACAGCAGCAGGAAATGTGGCAGTTCATGCATGTAGGAAATGTATAATAATGGATAATTATGCTGACTTACTCTTGTGAAAAATTGTAGTGTAGACTGATGTTTTTTGAAAGGAGGAATGGAACATTTTGTACTTTGTCATATCTCTGCCTATTCTCTTATTCATCTTTGAATCTATACTGAGAAATATATTTTTCTTTATTTTATTTATATATTAACAGCAAGGATCTCAGGACTATTCCAGAGGCAGAAATTGGACTGGCAGTTATCTTCATGTCTACAGAAAAATACTGCAACCCTCAAAAGCAGCCTGGTAACAAAGGTAATTGGAAGAAGGGTAGTAATAAATCAACAACATTAAGCAGACAGTATTTCTTTTTGTACAGAGGCATCAAAGGCTACTGTTTAAGTTCTTTTGTTTTGTTTTGCAAGACCACTAAAATAGAATGACACTGTAGTATGAAAAACGTATACAGGTCTGAAGAGTTCATTGTTCTTTAATGGTCTTGCAGTAAACTGCATTGAAAATTATGTAGCTCTTTAAATAAAAAAGTAGCAGGTAAAAAATTATGTAACTCTTAGATGTAAATAAAAAAGTAGCAGGTCTAAAATTAGTATAGAAAGCAGACACATAGTACATTGATCTTTTAAAGGAAAGGTACTTTAAAACAATCTTTTGAAGTTTACATTTTTAGTGGCCACTGAATTAATATGTATGTATATGGTAGCTCTAATTCCATGCTGTTGTATCTTTTATGAAAAGACTGGGGTAATAAGACGGTAGAAGATGAATGTTAGAAATTGAAAGAAGAATGGAATTAATTTGTAAGACTTGCCTTTTTTATTATTAATTTTATTTTTTCACAAAAAAGAATTGGCATTAGGCAAATTCAACTGCCCCTGTGTCACCGAAATCAGGAGTAAACTTCTTAACACCAATGCAGCATTAAAAGGCGGGCATTCTCTTTATTATGATGCCGGGTGCACTGAGGATCCTTCCACCTATCGTGCATGCCCTATACCACGTGAAGCAAAGTTTAAATGATACAGAAACATACATATTTGTTATATTTTCTGGAGTAATCATGCATATTCAAAGCAATTCTCTGAAAATCATTATCATAGACTCCACCTTTCTACACATGCTCTTTATGTCTCTCTGGGGGTCTCTGGTGGTCTTCTGAGACCGCTGGTGGTCCTCTTGTGGTTGTTTTTTTGGTGAACTCTTGAGTCTCTTTTCCATATTAGGGACATTCTGGGCTTGTGTTTCAGTAGCAGCCTGCAGAAACTTGCTCAACTGAGCACCTATTTACATTTCCTAGTTCTTAGTTCTTTTTACAAGAGATCTTTACCTTGATGTTCCTTACCTTTATGGTTATCTTGTTCCTGTAATGGAACAGTACCCCTACTTTATATTAACCTTTTAATTCTTCTCTTGTGTTGATCTTGCAGCTGTAACTAAAAGTACTCCTGCATCAGCTGTTGTAGGGCCAGCCATTTCTCAGAGTTTGGCTGTGGATGAAACAGAAATGCCAGCTGCTGCAGATAACAGCTCAATATATGTAGCTGATACAGAAATAGAAGAGCAGACATGGTAAAGTATGAATGGAAATAATTTCTAAGTTAATAATTGCAAATAAAGCAGTCTTTTGTGGCAGAGGAGCTGTATCATTGCCGTGGACAAAGATACACAGTGTTTGAAATGTCACAGTAAATTGCTGTCACTTGTCTGCAGTGAGATAATTTCTGCTTTTGAGTGGTAGATAACAGAAAGTATCCCATAGGACTTAAGACTCTTTCAGATAAAAATGTAGGTACTGCATATCTGATTTTACTATTTTAACTATTAAAAATTTCAAGCCATTTCACATTTATAAAAATCTGTTTATCATAGTGAATTTTACAGTTTGGTTTTAGCACACCTACATTGTTTATAAGTATGTTCAAAGTACAGGTACAGCTTTTTTTAATTAGTGGTATTCTGCAGTGTTTCTCTGTAGTAACTTCTTGTGTGTTCACTTACTATTTTTTTTTCTCTCTAATGTAGTATGAAGATAGAGAATACTCCCCAGATGGACAGAAGAGGGAAAATGGCTTTCCAGGATATAACTGCTGCAAAGAAAAACCCTAGCACAAGCGGCAGTGTAATTGCAGGAGCATCGATATCTAGAGTGAACAGAACATCTGGGTTTAGTCAAAAAAGCCATCCTGTCTCGCCATCTAAAATTTCAGAACCTGGTAAACCTAGTGAGCGTGCTTCACATCACCAGTCTAACTCAATTACAAATTACTTCCAGGTGGCTAGAAAAAGGTGTGTTGAAATGTTCTTGGCATTTCTTCCCTTATTGTTATGTTGGTGCCATTTCTGGAAAATAATTTAAGTCAAAGGATGTACATTTAATTCAAAACTTAAAAAGTTACTTTTTAGATCATCTTCCTAGAATGGCAAGATTTTCCTCAAGGGTACTTACATGCAAATTTCACAATGCAGTCACTAAAACCCCAGGAAGCTGTTATGTTGCAGATGCAGCTGGAAAAATGCTTTTGTAATTTATTTCATTTGTAATTACTTTCT